CCTGAGAAGGAGCTGGCGGGGCCCTTGAAGACTCCGCCAGGGCTGCGCGGCGGAGGGACGCGGCGTTGACGGGCCCGAAACGTGCGCCGTTCGGAGCCCCCTCACGCGCCGCGGTTCACTTCCCTTTGCGATTGCGGCGCCCCGCGCCCCCTTTTTCCTGCCAAACTACATCTCCCAGGATGCACCGTTCCCCGCCCCGCGGAAGGCACAAGTGTGTGGCGGCCATTTCGTTCTTCTCTTCCCCGGTGAGGTGACCGGAGAAGCGAGTCGGGCTTTCGAGGAGAGGCGGAGTGATGTTTCCTTTGGCGCGAAGAGCTTTGGGCCTTTCGGGTGAGTGTGCTCTCCTCGGCAGGCCTGGTGGAGGTGGGCGAAACCTCTCCGACGCGTGGGGGGGGGAGGGGTGCGCCTCAATGAGGACTAGTTGCATGCTGTGCCTGTGCCACCCTCGTGCTTATTTGCAGCCTACCGCTGCCTTTGCCGTCTCCTCGGCATCCGACTGGCTCTTGCGGCGAAAAAGAAGCTGATTTTTAGCTTACCGGCCCCTATTAAACCGCCCGGTTTGGCCCGGCTTCGTTGGGAAGTCAGCCGTCCTGGGGGGCCTCGGAGAAGCGCAGCCGCCGAGCAGCCTCTCTGCGACTCTCTGAGGCCGAGTCAGCCGGTTCCCACGTAACGGGCAGTTCGACCCGGGAGATGATAACGGGTTTCCCCTTTTATGCCCCTCGACCCTGGGCGGCTGCCCACAACCCAGGCCTTTCCAGCAGGCCCCGCGCGGGCTGAGCGAGGGCAGGGCGGCGATGGCCCAGCGCCAGTGGGGGCCCCCGCAGGCTCTTCCCTGGCCCCCCGCCCCGCGGAAGGGCCCAGCTGGGCCCTGGGGGAGCCGCTTCCCGGGGGGGCAGGGGGGACGCTTCGGGGGTCCCGATGGGTGACCCCGTTGGATCAGTGGAACCCGCCTGCGGCAGCCCCGCCACGCGGTGGGAGAGGGCAGCCCTTCCGCTCGCCAGGCCCCGCACCGGGGAGGGCCTTGCCCTGGGCAGAACCAGTCCCGGTGCCTGCCGGTTCTGTCCGTGCCGCTGGACTCTGGCCCGTCTGGGTGGTCTTTAAGGGCAACCCCACGTAGGGCATGTTGCAGTAGTCAAGCTGCCAAGTGCACGAGTGAGTGTCTGAAGGCACCCTCTCCCCTGCCCAGGAGAAGTGCTGCAGATGGAGTTGTGTCTTCCTGGGCACAACTGATCTGTTTTTCAAGCAGGATCAGTCCCCCTCCCCCTCCCCCCCCATTCCATCCCAGCTTTGAAGGGAGAAGTATTACCCCATCCAAGGTCAAAGATGGAATAGCCCCAGACCTGGACCTTCCGGTCACTCTGGTGCTTCAGCCTGCAGATATTCCGTGTTGGGTCTCCTGAGCCCCTTCTCACCACAGCTCAGTCCATTACTTGGTACAAAAAGGTGCAGAGCTTTCAGGAGGAACTGTGGGCTGCGCTTGCCTAGCCTGCTCAATTCAAGAAGACCTGGGCAGCCCTCTCCCTTCCCTGGCACCTGCTGTTTATGAAGCAGTCCACGCTCCAAATGGATGCCAGGCGGAGGCTTAGAAGCTGGACTTAGGTCCTTCCTCCTGGTATGGCTGGCCATAAAAATCAGGCATTTCTTTTCTTGAAGAAAACACAGAGATTTTCCACTGAAATATTTAATAAAAATAGGTTTGCATAATTATGTATGTTAAGGGTTCATGCACAAATATTGTGAACTTGCCTGTCACAGTAGCAAATCAGCTAACCTTAGGTCTGATTATAAATGTTGAACTCAGCTTCAAAATTAGAAAATATAAAAAGCAGCCAGCCTCAGTTAAAAAATGCCAGAGAAGGAGGAGAGCAGCCCAGTCCCTCTGTAATTGCCCATTAATTGAATTTCAGAGCTTAGTATAGTCAGCAGCAAAAGCAGGATAACAATAATATGTGCTTCATGTCAGTTTGCTTGGTTGATTGGTGAGCTGCTTTTCAACTGAGACAGCTTTGTATTCCAGCCCGTGGCATTCAACATACTGTGAGGAGACAGGCTCACCGCAAACTTGAACCTGATTTCCACGACAAATATGGCAACCTCGTTCTCATTTCTGGGGTGGCGTTTGCTATTGGCACTTGGGCTTATGTAAGTATTTGGCAGACTTCAGGGCAGAACTCTACCCTTCGTTCAGTTGTTGGGTTTGCCTCTTAAAATGGGCTTAATTGTGTCAGTTCAAGCACTTGGGCTGAGTCATCAGCTGTGGGTAAATATGATGTGTGAATAGAATTGCTGCAATGATTATGGTTAATTTCTGATCACTCTTGCAGGCTTGCATCCAGCTTCCAATTGCATGGAATTTCTCTCCAGTTGGTCGACTTACTCCAAAAGAATGGAGAGAAGACTAGGAGTGACTTCATGACCCTTCTGGGAATTGGGAAGTAATCTGAGCTGTATTTGTGCCACCCTTATCTGGCACTCTTCTGTGCTATGTGTGATATAATAAAAGTATTGAAAATAGATAATTTGGAATCATAATGTTGTATATACTCTTGTAATGCAAAATTGGTAGCCAACTAAGTTGGGGTTTTGGCAGGATGTTACATGTACATGCATTATCATACATGTGTGATGGACTGTAGTTCAGATTCCCAGAGGGGAGGGGAGTGCATTCCAGAGGAGCAAGAAACAACTCCACCCAGATAGTTTGTGTGAGAGAAAGAGGGTGAAGACGGCCCTTCCTTAATAGTTCTGAGAGTAAATGCTTTATGGGGGTGGCAGCATGCTTTAGTTTTCAAGATTTTTGAGGTAAGAACAATAAAACAATCTGCTTGGAAGAAACGTAGTGTGTCTTTTTTTGATTTTGGGAACCTGACATCATTTCCCAAAAGACTGAATGGAAAGCAGACCTAAGAAAAGATTACAAATGCATCTTGATTAGTGCAATTAATTACACAAAAAGTTCACATTATTTGGATTTGCATTATTTGAAGTAATATTTCTATGGAAAATAAGGTAATGGTTTTAGCTTAATGGAAATAGACAATTAAAATTTTAACCATACATTTTTATTTTAACAACATACTGTATTACAGTAAAAAGATAAGTCCATATCCAAAGCATATCTGTTCTCCTATTCTCTCAGAAAGAGCCTTTGCTGGGCCTTCCTCACATGGAACGTTTTGCACAAACAATTGCATGTGCTTATCTCAACTGCCCATGTGCTAGCCTTGCACTAACTGAAATTTGATTTGAGCATTACCTGGTATCAATTTACAAATAGCACTAAATCAAATTTTGCACTAATTGTGACCTACCTGAACTGCTCAGAACAGAGCAAAAAAAATGGGAAATATATGGAATAGGGCCAATTGGAATAATAAAAAAGGGATACTTGGTGGAAGCATGCAGGAAAGGAGGTTGTGGGTGAGGAAAACACACAAGGCTGAGACGAGATTGAAGCTACCATAATCTAAAGATGAAGCAAGCATGTAAGCAGAGATGACAAAATGCCAGAAAAAAAAGATTCCTTTGGGAAAGTAGATAAGAACGAAACAAGACATGAAAAGAAAAATAAATTACCTGAACCAGTCAAAGGAAGTTGGGCCTCGGCACATGGGGGAAAATCCAATCCCACCTAATGAAAGCAAAAACCTGGGGATAAAAAGGGGTCCTGAAGTCCACCCCTCCCTTGAATCGTTTTTTGATCCAGACTTGGTAGTTTGACATAGGTTTGTATGGATAAGTGTATGTGTGAGAAAGAACAAATGTACATTATGACTAGTAAAATTTTGGTGTTAACTTTAAATTCACTGGTCCCTTGTTTTCCAAAGAACCTGGGGTGCCTCAGTATTCAGTTGGAATTGATTTGTTCCTCTCCCTAATTATGATCTTTTCTAGCCACATCTATCTGGAAAGCCCAGTTAGAAAACAAGGGGGGGGTTTTTGCCAAATCTGCCCAACAGACTGAGTGAGTGACCATAAGCTGAACTTGGAAGCTGTGTAATAATATCTGCTTGTTTATTTTATGTCCTGCCACATTTTGCAACTGGCTGGTTCACTACAACTCTAAAACCAATGATAAAATTTTCATAGTAAATTCAAATTAAGTTAAAGAAAAATTACTGAAAATGTCAATGGGAGGGACGAATAGGAGAGGTCAAATCCCATTGGATGAAGCAGTCACAAAAGTGCCTATGTGTCAGTCATGTTAAAACCAGCACTTTGAATGATGCCTGATACTTCTTGGCAACAGTGGAGGGCCTGGAGAATTGGTGGCCAGGGGGCCTAATGTCCAGTCCTTGCACCACACAGCATTTTGGATCATTAGAGGCAATTCTAGCGGTTAAGGCATCCAGTGTAAGGCTTGTCCTAGCTTGGATGTTCAGAAAAGAAAGACCCTTGACTGCATTTGTAGTAAAAGGTATAACTTTTACTGAAGCCAAGTGGTTACAGCTTAGCATAGCCAGATCCGAATATGCCCACTTAAACCCAGTGCTTTTCGCTTCTCCCAGGCCCTCCCCCCTTGGTCCTTTTGTAAATGTCCAATGGAGTTCAAACAAGGGGTTTTGGCAACAGTCCTAAAGTTTGGTGCCTCTTTCACATTCTGTTCTCATGCTTCAGTCCTTGGATCTGCCAGGTTTTGTTCCGGGCTGGCACTTCTGGTCCCCCTCATCCTGTTATTTCTCCCCCATATCTCCTTCCTCCCCCCCTTTATGGCAGAAACAGGGCTGAAGCTATGTAGTGGCAGACCTGACACCCAGCTAGAAACCAAGAGACAGTGAGTTCTAATCCTGCCTTAGGTAAGAAAGATGGCTGGGTGACCTGGGACCAGCCACTCTCAGTCCAACCTACTCACACTTGTCGTGGGAAAAATAGGAGGGAGTGTTATGTTCACAACCCTGAGTTATTTATACAAAAGAATAAAGGTGGAATAAAATAATAATTTGACTTTCCAAATGGTCTTGAAAAGCAACCCCACAAAACAATTTTTCTTTGCTTACCATTGACTCAAGACCAAGCAGAAGATATTTATGCAGACTTTGACTGATAAGAAATACTGTGTTTCATAAAGTCAGTAGTCTGGTACCACTTTTTCTAACAAAACAGGCCTTAATATTTAATGCTAAAGTTCCTGTCTTTTAATAAGATACGTGAAAATGCTTCCCTGATTGCTACCACAAGCTCTGCCTGCATGCGGTCAGGACCCTGGTGAATCTGAGCAGCTATATCAGCAAACTGGAGCATCAGTGCTGCTGGAACTTAGATTGGATCCTCCCTCCTCGCCTTTAGAAAGGGTCCGAAGGCTTGGCAGTGCCATCCTGCCTGTGGACCCAGCTACATTGGTAGTAAATTGGATTTCACTCTTGCAGATTATTTTTTAAAAAGTTTGATAATCCCAAACCCCATGAAAACCCTTTGTTTTTAATGTGTTCCCATTGTGTTTGTGATATAATTTTTGCTACATTTTTGTGTTTGAACTTTGTGAACTGCCCAGAATCATGATTGTATAATGGACAACTATATATATTGAATAAACAAACAGCTGCACCGTAACATCACTGTTATGGTGATCAGGTAGGGGATCTCCCTTGTCTTGCCTCTGTAAAAGGACATTTGTCTCTCTAAGCAAGTTGCTTTGGCCAACAACCTGATGAGGCAACCACAGAGCAGAAGCAGCAGCCTCTACCTGAGCTCATTCCCAAGTTGGGCAGTTTTGATTCTTGTCTTCCTTGGTTTCCATTGTTTTATCTCCCCAAACTCCTCAGAACAATTGGGATAAAAGCTATCTTGACAAGGGCCCAGGTGCTTCAGATATTAGATGGCAAGCAGCGCAGATGGTTCCCCTGCCTTTGGGTTCCTCAAGGGCCCGGGGTAGGTTCAGTGAGTGTATGGAAATGTTGGATTCCCTCATTCTATTTTGCATTATGGCATGCCAAAGCAGCGATTCTCAATCCCAGTCTTTAAGATATGTAGACTTCAAGTCTCAGAATTCTGGAAGTTTAAGTCTACACATCTTAAAGATGCAAAGTTTGAGACACTCTGATCTACAGTATGATTTTTATTATGTTTTTTGTGCAGTTAGCCAGATTTTTAGACTGGATTTAGTTTTATCCACCTATGAAGTCCTTCCCAAGGACCAAGGATAGATGTTCTGTTAGATGGTGTTAAAGATACTGTTGCAGGATGTAAGCTGATCCAAGTAAAGCTGCTTTTTGCGATTGACTGATGGTGATTTTGTCAATGCTGATGGTGTTCAAGTGCTTTAGTTGTATTGGGATTGCACCCAAGGCATCTATTACTATTGTTGCTATCTTTGCTTTCTTTTGCCACAATTGTTCTGCTTTTATTTGCAGATTTTTGTATTTTGTTATTTTCTCCAGCTCTTTCTCTTCTATTCTGCTCTCCAGCTATTGCAACATCCGCTATCCAGATTTTTTTGTCTTTCTTATTAACAGTTGTTAAGTCTTATGTAGCAAGTGCTTATCTGTTTCAATTCTAAAGTCCCACAGAATTTTAGCTTCTTCATTCTCTATTACTTTCTCAGTTTTATGTTCCCAACAGTTCTTGCTTGCAGGCAAATGGTATTTCTTGCAGATCTTTCAATGCACCATTGTTGCTACTTTGCCATGCCTTTTTGCTTGTGATCAATCTGTGTGATTTTCTTGCAGCAACTAGTCCAGGGGTAGGCAACCTTGGCTCTTTTATGACTCGTGGACTTTAATTCCCAGAATTCCTGAGCCAGCTATAGCTGGCTCAGGAATTCTGGGAATTGAAGTCCACGAGTCATAAAAGAGCCAAGGTTGCCTACCCCTGAACTAGTCAGATAGTCCACAGTTTCTTCAGCTTCTTTTCAGAGGCAGCATTTGTTGTTTGTTGCTGTCTGAGATCAGAAGGCATGTAACACTTGGAAGAACTGCAATATCTGACATGAATAACATCTGGAAGAGTAGAGACATCAGCCTCACAACCTAATGCAGATTAGTTAACACAATAATTTTTCCAATTGCTACTCTGAAAAAGGCAGACAGGAGAAGGATGGACACCTTTGAACTGTGGTACAGAGGCAACTTTTATGCATCCCATAATAGCAAAAATAACAAAGCAAAAATATCACTTGAAGCCAAGATTGCCAAACAGAGGGTGTCATACTTTGGTCATGTCATGAGAGCTGACTCGCTTGAAAAGTTAATCATGCTGGGAGTGATCAGCAGAAAAAGGAGAAGGGGCCGCCTTAGTCCACACTGGCTGGACACTATAACAGACGACACTGGGATGACCATGGTGGATCTCAAGGAGGCAATGCAGGACAGAGGGGCATGGAAACTGCTGATCCATAGAGTGACCGAGGGTCAGGCACGACTCAGTGGCTGACGAGGAAGTTGTCTTCTCAATTCTGGCTTGGTATGCATTTGATCTTAAGCTTTGAACATGTGCAGGCAGAACTAGCCCTTTGATGCATTTTTCTTATGATTTAAATATGTATCTTGCAAGGCCTCGAGCAACTCTGCCCCCCCTCAATTTTAGTTTAAAGCCCTTCTGATGAGTCAGTCATTTTCCAAATATATTCTTTCCAGCTCTTGTGAGGTTCACTCCATCCCTTGCCAGTAGACCATCAGGTAGGTAATGCAGACCATGGCCTAGGAAACCAAAGTTCTTTTGATGACACCAGCTTTTGAGGCAGTGGTTCATTTCTAAAATCCTTTGTTCCCTCATTGGATGTTGACCTTTCGTTGGAAGTATAGATAAAAACACCACTTGAGCTCCTAATTCAACTCTTCCCTTGCTGTTCGTAATCTTGTTAGTTTTTAGATTCGTTGTTGTGTCATTGGTCTTCATGTATAGGAGAAGAAAGGGGTAGTAATCCATAGGGTTATTTTAGTAAGTTTCTCAGTTACATCTTTGATTTGCTCCAGGGAGACAACATACCTCTCTAGATCAGTGTTTCTCAACCTTGACAATTTTAAGGCATGTGGACTTCAACTCCCAGAATTCCACAGGCAGCAATGCTGGCTGTGGAATTCTGGAAGTCCACATGCCTTAAAATTGTCAAGGTTGAGAAACACTGCCTAGATTGACTGTTCGGTCTGCAAAGTATAGTTTCTGTTTTCCAAAGAATTGAATCTCCTATCAGCAATATTCACCTTTTTTCCCTAGGGACGTCTGGGATACTATTCTTCCTCTCACAGGAATGCTGGGATGCGTCCCCTTTTTAGAAACTATTGATGACGCTCTTGGATAGCTGTCTGCACATTTTCTTCCAGCAATTTGGCTCCAGGGGGGCTTCATTGGAGCGGGCTGGGGTGGGTAGTAGGGGCTTCGCTCTTCGTTGCTGTTTCCTTCTAAAAGCGACGTGCCGCCGTCGGCCTTCCTCTTTGGGGGGCGGCCACGAGGAGGGGGACGGCTGCAGGGTACCCCCGCTCTACCCGCAGCCCCCACCCGGCTTGCGTCACGTGACCCAGGCGGTCCGTTCCCCGTCAGCTGACTCCCTGCCCCGCCACGTGACACCGCTCCCTTCCGCTTTCCTGGGGCGGGGTGTAGAGCGTAGCAACCGTCGCGCGGAGGGGCGTGGCCGAGCCGGCGGAGCCGCTCGGCAGAGAAGGAGGGAGAGGTCCGGCGGCGGACGGGCCGCGGCTGAGGTAGCGCGCGGTCGCGGTGGCGGTCGCGGTCGGGGCGGCCTGGCGGGGCAGAGGCGCGGCGCCCCAAGGCTCTTCCCCGGGCGGCCTCCCGTGGCCGGGGTTGGGGGAAGCCGAGAGGGGCTCCTGCGCGGGGAAGAGCCTCGCTTCTTGCGGGAACTTTGCTGGGGTCTCCAGTCCGACGGGCCGTAAGGGGGGAGGAAGCCCGGTCGGGTGGGGCCGGCGGCGCCTCCCTGGCGAGGGAAGGGAGAAGCGCGCCTCTTCCAGAGGAGGGGACGGCCACTCCCAGAATTCCCCGTGCAGGCTGCCGAGTCTGGGCGTTGCAGCCCGCCCGTCTTAAGGCGGCGGCGGCGGCGGCGGAGGCTTCGTTTCTTTCCGGGCTCTGAGTCTCCCGGGCCGGCGGGGGGGGGGAGGGAGGGGGGGGACCTCTGATTTTCAGACTTGTCATCCCAAGTGGCAAATAGTTTGTCGTATTTGGAGGGTGTTTTCAAAGTAGTTGGAGATAAGAAGTCTCCTATTTCAAGGGGAAGAAAGAAAACACCTCTGGACTTGCTTGATGATTGCTTTTCTAATCCTGCCCTTTGTACTGGGATCCTTTTGCAGACCGTGCCCTGTTCTTCCCATTGCGGCAGCTTTTCACCTTCCTTGCATTTCCTAAATGCAAACCTTGGCTTGGTTGAAACGTTGCTTCCTTCCTTCCGTGTTTCTTTTTTTAAGACTATATGGATGCGGCAATATGTAGAAAAGTGCTTTGAAATACATGAAGTATTAAACAATTTAAAGCATGCATTTAATTTAGGAAGGCAATCTGCATTCATGTGCAAAGGAAGACTGAGGAAACATCTTTTTTCCTTCTTTATACTTGCATGAAGAGAAACTTTGAAGGCACTTTTTACTTCTTTTTTTGGATGTAATATTGCATCATATTTGATGAACCAGGCTCTGCAAAAACAGCATCAGAGGTTATTAAAGTTTATTAGAGGAGCATCTTTTTAATTTTATTTGAGCAAATTTCTAGATTATATTGTCTGTCGCAAAGCAATTTGGTAGATAGGCCTTGCTGTTTTTATTTAAACATGGAACCAGTATATAAGCATTAATGAAATGTAGTTCTACTATGGTAATTAAGCTACAACTGCTTAGCTCAGCTGCTTTTTTCTGTGGTTTTTCTGTATTTTTTTATTTTAATTAGAGAAATCTTTTAACCTGCTCTTATATTCTCATCTGCTGTCTCACTTTATTCTCATTTCTTGATGTTCTTTGAATTCAGTCATTTTCCTTTTTGTGTTTTTGCTAAGAAGCCAAGCTTGACATGTTAAGCACTGTTAACTGCTTAACAGAGTCCTTCTCCAGAAAAATTAAAAAAATTATCCAGGAAGAAGAGAATTCTCAGGATGGATCTGGTTGAATTTAATCTGGCTGGGAATTGAAGTTGATCTTAAAGTTGATAAAGCTGAGAAACACTGAACTTGGGTATCTCCTCCAATAGGTCCACTCAGTGGACAAAGCAATTCTTCCTTTGGTTCCACCCTCTCACTTTCTTGGATGCATGCTCCTGTGACTTCTTTACATTGAATTGATGTCAAATCAGTTCAGACTGGGAGAGTGCTGCCTGGCTTTGGCCCTGAGGTTATGCTGAGGCTGGGAATCTCAAGGACCCCCTCCCAGAAGGTAGAATCCAGATGGAGATCTAAAATGACTAAATGGCCTTGCTAAGTGAAGGGAGGAGATTGAGGCAGAATGTCCTCTGTGCTTATTATCACTTCCCTGCCAGAAAAATACTTTTGTATTAAAAAAAATCCAACCTTTAAAATCTTTGTTTTAAGATAGTTTTACTAATACAATAGAATACAATAGAATAGAACTGGAAGGGATCTTGGAGGTGTTCTAGTCCAGCCCTCTGCTCAAGCAGGAGGACCTATACCTATACAATACTATACTTCTGTGATTTGGTTTATTGTGCATTTATTATTTTATTTTAAAGGCTTTCCTTTCTGTTGTAAATCATCTTAAGTTATAAACTGGATTATAAAAGCTGCAAATAGTGTGGTACAGTTGGAAATTAGGTTAAATACCTCATTTTCTTTACATTGGGAGGGGCAGATATGGCGGGAGCAGAGGACCATATCGGGTTTTGGGAGCACGCACACGCTGCTTACAAGCTTGTGGGTGCTCCGGTCCTCAGGACTCAACTCGACCCCCAGGGATCTTAGATCCCCGGCCCCGGGATCACCGACTGATGCTGTGTAATGCCAGGTCCGTGGTAAATAAGGCCCCCCTCATTCAAGAT